ACACACACACTCACACACACACACACACACACTGCTGGAGGGACGTGTCAGCTCAGATCAGAGGAGACAGCAGTTGCACTGCAGGCGGTGTCTGTGTGTGTGTGTGTGTGTGTGTTTGCAGGAGGACACACACCACTCCTGTGGGATTACCCATAATGCCCCAGCTCACCTCCAGATGGCGACGTCTCACTCCTGTCTCAGAGGACACGCGGCACGCAAGAGCACCGCGGGTCAGACGGGTCACCAGACCCCGAAACCAGAGACACGAATGTGTGTTACGTGCATCTTTCATTAGGACACATTCATATAAACAATGAATCGTGTCTCAGCCGGCGCTCAGGAAGACACATGTGTTGCCATGGTGAGAGCCCTTCACATGAACCAAGTCAACTTCTGCAACACACACACACACACACACGCTACAGCCAAATATAGACAAACCTGCTGTCAGTCCACATGACAAACACACACACAACAGCAGAACCTGCCATCTGTGTGCACACCAACCAAACTGAAACTATACAGTGTAGTACATTTAGATAAAGTATATAATATTTAGTGTGTGTAGATATATATATATATATAACATAAAACACTGAAATATTAATGTGCAGCAAAGGATTAATGTGACTGGTTTGTGTTATATCAGAAATAAAAGCTGCTGGAAGAGGCGAAGGATGTGAGCGGTCGCCATGGTAACAGATCCAGGGATGGCACAGTGACAGAGATGCTCTGCGGGTCAGACCGAGACATTTACAGAGTTAAAGATGTGGCACGTGTAAAACAGAAATAAAACGAAAGAATGTTTACGTTCGATTAATTAACGCGCGTTTCAACATCTGTTTGTTCTTACGCGCTTGGCCACCAGGTGTCGCTGCGGCACCTCAAAATACAGGTTCAACTCAATTCATCATGCTTTTTGTTTTTTAATTATAAATATCTATACCTTGATACACTGAAAACATCGTGTAATGTCATTCATACAGCGAAATACATATTACTTATGATTTCATGCATATTACTACAGGACTATGAAACTTTTTGTCTGTTTTGTGTTGGATTAGGTCTTGATTCTTTTTAGGTCGTGTGTAAGTTTCTGCTGGCGTGTCACCTACGCTTGACAGACGATAAAAGAGAGGAAAACCAGCTCCGAACGCCGCACGCTTCTATAATTAAACGCCGAGGCTTTACGGTAAGCGCGCGCGTTCAGCATCTTTGTTATTCCCCCGAATGTCGTCACGCATACCCGAGCGGCGTTTGACGTCAATCTCCATATTTGGACGCGGACGGAAGGCGAGCGTCACCACAACACGCAGTGTTTTCCATCCTGACAACCAATCGGTTGCGCGAGGAAGACCCGCCCCTTGGTTTCATTGGACGCTGGGCGTGTCGCTCAGACCAGCGCGACTGACGTCGACGGCTTTGTGCGTATTTATCGGCGGAATCGCTGCTCTCTGCGACAGATCGGAGCGCAGCGAAACGGAACCGACTGGATCGGGGAACGTTGATTGCTTCATCCTCATTAAACTTGCTGCACTAATTCACCAGCATCAAAGGACAGCAGCTCTTGTGGTTTTTCACTTCCAGCAGTTTTATTCTTAACTCTGTTGAACGGAATACAGTGATGCACGGCACCGGAGCAGAGATGGCCCCGGAGGTTTCAGCCGCCGCGAGTTTTGTTTGCAGACTATTGCGCAGTCGCGGACGCTTGAGTGACGCGCAGCTACACGTTTTTAGAGACTGTCTCGCGCAGGCGCTATCAGGTACTGAAATAAATGTTTTTATACTTCATGTTTAACAAAATATCACCACTATATCAGCGTACTTCCATATTGATTCAGTGATCATATACTATGCTAAAAGATTTGGATGCTAACGAAAGTGTTTATTTTTCTCCAGAACACTACCAGCACCACTGGTTCCCCGACAGGCCGCAGAAGGGATCCGGTTACCGCTGCATTCGGATCAATCACGAAATGGACCCTCTGATTGGCCGAGCGGCCGGTCGAATCGGACTGACCAGCGGGCAGCTTTTCTCGCTCTTGCCGCGGGAGCTGACGCTCTGGGTCGACCCGTACGAAGTGTCGTACCGCATCGGTGAGGACGGCTCCATTTGCGTACTCTACGAGGCCGAGCCGCCCGTCTCAAGCCCCGCCCCCTCGGCGTACGACCAGATGGCGAACTGCAAAAACCGCTTCATGATGAGCGGCCGCACAAGTCCACCCAAAAACTACCTGATGATGGTGTCCAGCTGAACGCACGCGACCGGTGTCCGCCGGTACCGCGCCTGACCGACCAACCGCCGAGAGTTTACCATTCCTGCGACTTGACATTTCAGGCCTTTATTTAGTATGAACTTTAAAGCACTGGTTGTTACGCGACCGGATGATATTTTGGCACTGTTCCGTGTGGCTCTTATTTATTTTTACAATCCCAAAACAGGTTTTG